TTGAAAGCCATGTCTGTGAAACCGGATGGAGGTAGCGTCTAGCTGTCAGGTACGTGTGAGCTCATTCCTTGACAGGTGTGACGTTAGGAAATTTATAGCGCTATGTGGTCTTGGATGAATAAATGACATACTTACACTCTATCTGCCATTTTTGTAACTTAACAAGTCTAGGACTGAAGACTGGGCGTAGTGGTGCATGCCTGTAATCCCAGCTCATGGGAGGCTGTAAACAGGCAGATCACAAGTCTAATCTAGTAGTGAGACCCCAAACACCCTGTAGACCCTTTCCTAAAATTTAAAAAAAAAAAAGTCTAGGATTGAATGCTCTCTTTTCTGTTAGGTGATGTTATTTTTGAAATCTTGTTTTAAACCCTCTTATATCATTGGATTAGTATGTTTTCTATTCCTACAGCAAAATGTCAGAAGCTGGGTAACTTGTAAAGAAAAAATGTTTCAGATATAGCCCAATGACATAAGTACCTGCCCGGCCAGTGCAAGGTCTTGAGTTTGATCCCTGGTACAAAAAAAGAAAAAGGAAAAAAAGAAAACGTGGAAAGGTTTCACGAGCTCACAGTGCCGGGGGCCCCAGAACATGGCGCCAGCTTCTTCACATAGTGGTAAGGCCCTAATGGCCAGTGGCATCACTATTTTGGGAAGACGTGGATAAGAGATTATGTAGCAAGACAGACACGGGGAGGAGCCTGTCGTATTTTTTCTTTGTACTGAGAACAGAACTCAGGGCCTTGTGCTGGCCAGGCAGACACTGCTGCTGAGCTACGTTCCAGCCCAGTCTTATTTGTTTTTCAGACAGGGTCTCACTGTGTAGCCTAGGCTGGCTTAGAACTCACGGTGGTGAACCTCCCACCTCAGCCTCCTGAGTGTGGGCTTATAGGCATGCGCCACCACCCACAGCCTTGGTTTTGCTCTTTGTAATGACTCTCACACCAAGTAACCAGGCCCTATGAGAACTGCATTGACCCTCAAAGGCCACAGCCCCAGTAACCTACCCAACTCCCAGTGCTCCCTGTATCCCCTGAGGTACTTGGGAGTGAAGCCAGGACCTTTGCATAGAGCTACGTCCCCAGCCCCACCTTCTAAAATTTTTGTCTTCATCGGTACGTGATTCCAGTACATGACTACATTCCTGGTGGGGAGCTGGTGCGTGCACATAGCACCTTAGTTCTCTTCTTCATTCCCTTCCCTTCTCTCCGTTCTTCTCCTTCCATCTCTTAGTTCTCTTCCTTTTGGCAAAAGACCTATTTCCCTATTTCCTATTATGTTTTTTTAAAATTTTGTTCTTTAGGGCCAGGGAGATAGCTCAGTAGAGTAAGTGCTTGCCTGGCAAGCACAACGGCCTGAGTTCAATCCCCGGTTCCAGAAGAAAAAAAAAAATTTGTTGTTCTTTATTTATAGTTTGGTTTTCTCATCTACAAGAAACTGTGCTATTTAAGCTTGTGCATCTGATTTTCACTTAACATTGTGGTCTCAAAATAAATAAATATGGGGCCAGGGAGATGGCTCAGTGGAATAAGCGCTTCCCTAGCAAGTGCAAGGGTCTGAGTTCAATCCCCGGTTCCACTAAAATAAATACATCAATAAATAAAATTTTTTAAAAAACCACTGTGGTCTTGAGGTGCATCCACTGTCCTGCGCATGACTCAACCTAGCCCCTTGTAAAAATCTGAGACAGGTTCTAAATTGCCAGGCTGAACTAGGATTTGCAATCCTCTTGCCTCAGCCTCACAGAGTTTGGAGACAATATGTGTACACCACCATGGCCAGCCATTTGACCCACTACTAGAACAAAGAAGTGAGTCCTGACATAGAATGGTCTTTAATCATATGCCGTTTTGCCAGGTGTGGTGGCACACACCTGTAATCCCAGCATTCAGGAGGCTAAGGCAGGAGGATCACTGTGAGTTCCAGTCCAGCTTGAACTACATAGTGAGACCCTGTCTCAAAAAGACAAAAAAAAAAAAAAAAAGTACACTGTTTTTGTTTGTTTGTTTTTGGTATGCTGTTTTAAGAGGAAAAAAAAATCAAGGGCTGGGGAGATACCTCAGCAGGCAAGCGCAAGAACCTGGGTTCAATCCCCTGTACTGCACACTGTCATGCTGTGCCAGCCACCAAAACTGGGCATGGTGGTGCATACCTTTAATCCCAGAGCTGGGGAAGCTGAGACAGGAGGATCCCTATGAGCCCAAGCTGTGTAGGGAGTCCCTATACCAAATACAAAATTAATTTTTTTAAATCCAGCACATTAGCAGGGTGAGATTTACAACGCAGTGTAACAGATCTGCATGAGTAGTGCAAGGAGATGTGTTTCTGATGGTCTGGAATCTGGGAAGTCCAAGAGCTCGGCCCTGGCATCTGGTGGGGCAGGGACGCCGTACGCCAAGGCACAGCGAGCATGTTAGGGCACACCTGCTTTCCCAGCAAGGCCTCCTCCAGACAGCACATCAAGCTTGAAGGGAACAGTCCACTTAGAAACAAAAGGGCTCACCTCAGTCACCCCAAAGGTGTACCTCTCAACCCACTGCACTAGGAATAAGCTTCCAGCACGGGAAATCAGGGTGGAGGACAGACCCAAAGGACACTAAGCACTGGGTGCCTTTGGAGGATACTAAGTGAATGCAGATATACAACCTAGTAAGTGCTGCCATCTCTGGGGAGTCACAGGGATGGTTAAAGGGACCCTAGTCTCACCTAGTATATTACTGATTATATAACTTGGCTAATTAATTTGATTTTTAAAAAACAACCATGAGGGGGGAGATGGCTCAGTGGAATAAGAGCTTCCCTGGCAAGCGCAAGGGCCTGAGTTCAATCCCCAGTTCCGCAAAAAAAAAAAAAGGGG